TGAAACGAGACTTTCACGTGGTCGTACGTGAGACCTTGGCATACTTAGGAAGCGAGTCCAAGTTTGTGAAGCTCCTACTTAGGCAGGAAACATTCTTCTGAAAATTTCAGCCTCCGAACTCTTCTGGCTCCCGAGATGATGATTTCACTCGCCAAAACTTCCACAGGGACGTTGAAAATTTGCGGAGTTGCACATGGGCAGGAGCTGCTACACTAAAATTTCAGTATTCTAGCTTTTGCGATGCATGAGACAATTTTTTTGCCAAAACTTTTACGGGGCCGTACGCGGCACTCGGGAGTGCGTGAAGGCTGAATCCAAATTTGCGGGGGTCGTACTTCCGTCGCCGTAAAATTTCAGACTCCGAACATCCGTGGATCCCGAGATAGCAATTTACCCGCCAAAATTTTCACGGGCCGCAGGTGATACCCGAGGGTTCGGAAACGTTGAATTTGAATTTGCAAGGTCGCGCGTGAGCAGGGGGTCGTTGCCCCAAAATTTCAGTTTCCTAGATACCGTGGTTCCCGAAATAATAATTTACCCGCCAAACTTTCCACGGGGCCGTTCATGCTACTTGCGAGTAGAAGAAGGCTAGATTTAAATGTTCTGGGTCGCATGTCCACAAAATTCCAGCCATCTAGCTTCCATGGTTCCTGCGATAATAAACTTACCTGCCCAAACTTCTACGGGGCTGTACGTGTTGCCGAGGGTACGTGTTGCCATCTCCGAGTAATAACAGTGGTCACAAGGTCTCAGTGATGCTAGTAAGGGATCGAGAATTCACCCAGTAAGAGTTTGGAGAACGAGAATTCATCCAGTAAGAACTTCTCAGTATTGCCAAAAAATTTAATTTGGATGAAAGACGTGCTAAAATTTTTTGGTTGCATGAATTGAACTAACCATGCTTAAACTGAAATCCGTAATTACATCAGAGAGCCATTCCACCAGAATATATCGCATTTCGCCGTTAATTTCATCCTGAAGGGCCAGAAAATTCTCCCTTACCTGATACTTCTGCTCTAGAAGCCGCATGTGCTCATAGGCATCTTTGTCGTAAATCGCGTCGAATAACGATCGTTGATGAGCCGGCAGCTGAAAAATCACTATTCATTCTACTTATTCGACGAAAAATAATAATAAATTTTTGTGATATGAGCGGAGCGCCTTTAACTTAATAAGATTTGGCAGACGAATGAATCGAGAAGTATTCAATTCTCTTATCTTTACTAGGTGGGGCTTCTCTCAGTGCTCTGCCAGATCACTACGCCATCGGCTTTTCGTGTAATATTTGTGTATATCTGTG